CTTTGTTATCTCAAATTCTCCAGCATCTGCAGTTCCTACTATCTCTGAAACTTTTTTCCATCTGGCTTCACCGCAGAGGATGCAAGTAACATTCTACAAATGGTTTAAATCAGGATTTGAATCGGAAGGACAATTCAAGAAAATTAGTCATTAGAGAAGTGGTACTAATTGTGGGAACGGTGTGCTGACCTATTCCAATGTCCTAAAAGACTTCATACTAGGATCTTAAAAGAAGTAGCCTATGATATTTGGTTTTAATTTTGGTAATTTCCTAGATCCAAAGAAGGTTCCATTAGATTGGAGAATAATGTCTAACTCCTTTTTCTCAAAGAATGAGGGAGACAAAGCAGGAGACTACAGGCCAGTAGGTAACATCTGTCAAAGGGAAAAACTTTTAGATCTTATTGTTAAAGACTTTTATAGCAGGGCACTCCAAATGTTTAAGATAATTGAGCAGAACCAACATGGTTTGTGAAAAGGATGTCATGTTTAACTAATCTAGTGGAGTCCTTTGACAAGGTAACCTGTGCTGGAAGTGAAGGGGAACCAATGGATATACTGTACTCTGATTTGAATACAGAAATGCTAAATTCTTTACTACAGATGCTAAATTTGCTGCTAACTCAATATAGGAAAGGAAGCCTATCCAAGCTTGCCATTCGTGTGCCTCCCTGCCCCCAACACGCTCATTCTGTTTGTCTTTCCCTCTTTCTCTCCACTGCCCCCTCCTATCTTTCGTCTTTACTTCCTTCCTTTAAATAAGCTGCACAATGCAGTACACTTACCCAAAAGTGTTAACAGTGCCCTACGTAACTTGAGCATAACTTCTCTACTTTTGTATTGTTTCCCTTGTAGTAAATGTAACATTGTTATCTCTCCTAATTACTTGCTATACCTGCAAAAGGTTAATGTGCAATTCTTTCATGAGTCAAAGTTGTAAATCTCCTTTGTACCCTTGCTATCACAGCTCTGCAATCTTTCACCATTTAAGTAATGTCTCCTTTCTATTTTTGCTGCCAAAATAGACAAGTTCATATTTTCCCACATCTTTCCCATTCACTTAACATAAATGTTTGTAGCCTTTTCATATCCTCCTCCTTTTACCTGCCTATTTTTGTGTTCCCAGTAAATTTGAGAGCCATACTTTCCATCACTATCTAAGTCATTAATACATTAGAAGGATCACAAGTTTGCTCAGCCTGGTGAGGTGGTGGCTGTTTTAGGATAATTGCTTTGCTGCTGGGATTTTTTTTCATTGTGTCGAGACTACCTAATTTTTGTTTACTTTGGAACTGACAGTTGCAGTTGAGAATTGAATTTTGAACAGCAGGTTCTTTTTCTAAAAAAAGAGAATAAAGCTAATTGCTGCTCTAAGAGTACTGTGGACAGTTCAGCTCCAAGATGCTGTTTTACTCAGGGACTGGCACCTGTTTAGATGTTGAATTGCTCAATTGAGAGAGGACCAGTGCTGGCCAGTCAACCACAGAATGTTGAACTGGGGGAGAAAACCAAAGTGAACTGGCTTTGACTAGGTTTTGGACAGAAGGCAGTTTTACTTTAGAAGCTGCTAGACTGGGAAGCTTTGTTTTGGTTTTGAACTCTGGTTATTCTCCAGTTATCAGCTTTTTGAAAATTCTGAGAAAAGAATCACCAGTGGTGAGAAATATGTAAAACCTTCCACAGGTCTGACATCAGAATTCAAGCAAATATACAACCCTATGTGTCTGTAATTCAATCAACTGTCAAAGGATTTCATACAGACCTAGGATTCATCGATTTCGGTTATCAAACTGGCAAATTGATTTTCTTTTGTACCTTAAGCGGCCGTCATGATGTGAGTGGAGGTTTATAGGCAAAGAAGACTGAGCTTAGAGTGCAGATATTAGATTTTTGTTCATTTGTGTTATGCTAGAGTTACATTATTAGTAATAAATTGTTAACTTGTTTAAGTGTAAACTTAGTGTCCAAAATCTCCTGTTTGCAAAGACCTGGTTTGGAACAATTGATCAATTTCAAAGGTCATTTGAATGTTTTAATTTCACGGTGTTGCAAATCCAGTGATAGTGATAGAGAGGCTGCTGTGGCTTACTAACCTTGTGTCATAACAATTGAATTAATGTGCATAAGATTTTGTTTTCTGTAAACAGGAGATTCCGCCCTATGAAACAAAAGCTGTGATGCGAGCCAGCTTTTCTTCAAGAGAAGCAGATAATCACACAGCGTTCATCAGAATAAAAACAAATGCATCAGATAATACAGAATTTCTCATTTTACCTGTTGAGGTGGAAGTTACAACAGGTTAGTTAGAAATTAATATTTTTCCTCTCATTTTCTCTTGCCTGATCCTACTGATTTTTAAAATAAAAAAAATTACTCTTTTATTACAGCACCCGGAATTTATTCCTCGACAGAAATGCTAGATTTTGGCACATTACGGACTCAAGGTGAGCTTTTAATTTGTTTTAATTTAAGTAGTAAAAACATCGATCATAGTTCATCTACTTCATATTCTTGCTTCAAATGCTCTAGCTCCATCTATCTTTGTATTGGCCACTTCTTTTTCATTCAGTTTCCTCTGCTTTTTTTCTTCGTTCTGTCTATCACACCTCTGTACTTTACTTTTGAGGAATAGCCCAACAAGTTTAAGTAAAAGCAAAATGCTGTAGATGCTAGTAACCTGAAATAAATATCAAGTTCTTGAGAAACTCAGCCAGTCTGGCAGCATTGAGTTGCTCCACTTTTTTAAATTCAGGTCATGTGTTAATCCCAACACTCAACATTGCCAAGAATAGACCTTTATGAAATTGAGTTTAGACCTCGTCAACTTTCACCGTAACTGTTTTGGTGTTTATTCTTTCGCATAACTGTCAACTGGCTTAATCATATCTGAGATGTTTGGTTACAATATTGTACCCTTTTTTTTTTCAAACAATGTGGTACTCTCTCCTAGCTATACGTCTGTAATTTTAATTAACTCTATCTTTATCTTTAGTAAGTTCCTCCATCTGAATGAAAAGCATGTAAAAATGATCTGATTTCTAGCATACCAGTTTTAGTTCTTGGAGCAGTGTAACTAATTGCAGGGGTATGAATAGTTTACAAACCCTTGCTGTCTAGTAAACTTCTAATCCAGTGTGGCCTGTAATGAGAGGAAAAATAGATTTTAACTGCAGTTTTAATTCTCGTCAATCAGCTGATGTGAGGAATAGCAAAATACTTAAACTTGTTATTTCTCTACAGATCTTCCAAAAGTTTTAAACCTTCATTTATTAAATTCAGGAGCAAAAGATGTACCAATAACAGTAAGCTCTTACTTTCCATGACTTCAGACTATCAAATTGTTACCTTTTCATATGTTTGCTTGATAACTAATGTACGTGTGTTCTCTTTCTAGAGTATTAAACCAACTCCACCAAATGAAGCTGTTACAGTAGACTTTAAGCCAATTACACTGAAGGCATCAGAAACTAAATATACCAAAGTTGCAAGTATTATATTTGATGGTGAGTGTTTCGCTTAAAGTAAGTGATAATTAATTTTGAACTGGATAAGCTCATTGAAATCTATTTTGTCATTTCCAGATGCAGTACCTTTCCCTGGAAGTCCAATATACTCTGTGTACTTCCGTACCATTCAAATGCTTACGTGCAATAGGTTAGAAAGCAAACTACAATAGATGGACTAAGATATATCTGAATATACTGTGTATAAATAAATGCCTTTATGTTTAATTACTTCATGGTCTCCCTATTCTTTGCACAGGCTCTGTATGGGTGTGTTTTTACTACTGTATAGCTGTTAGTAAGAACAGTGGCCTGATTTTTTCCAGCATTCCCTGTCTCTGTCATTTAGCGGACTCATGACCATAAGATATAGGTGCAGAATCGATTTGGCCCATCTAGTCTCCTCTGCCATTCAGTTGTGGCTGATACATTACTCAGTACTTTCTCCTTGTAAACTTTGATCCCCTTTATTAATTAAGACCCTTATCTATCTATTAAATACACTCAATGACTTCTTGGAGACCATTCTTGTGTGTATTATGTTGGACTCACAGATGTTTCTCTCCTAATCTACTCCAGTTCCCTTTTATTTCTGTCTATACCTATGCTATTTTTTGGTTTAATCATTTGGTGCAATAACCAAAGAAGTTGTCCAATTTTCCAAGGTTGTTTACAAATTCTCCTTGAAATGAATGACCATCTTCATGTGTTGTTGAAGAGCAACAATATTACGTAGTAATTTACTTTTTGTGATTTTTATATCTACCAGCTTTGAGCCAACCTTTCTGAATCCCCTGACATAAAATGGAGGCATAGAACTTTCAAGGGTAAATCCTGAAAGGATATTTCTTAAGACTAGAACCAAGGGGCCTTCCATTTCAATGGAAATGGGGAGTTTGAGGATGGTGCATCGGTAGAACTCTCTGGCCCCCGCAGCAAAGTGGAGGCAGGCTTGTTGAATATTTGTAAGACAAGTTTTTGGATTCTTCACTATCTCGAGAGTCAAAAGGTATTAGGAGTAAGCGGGGGTGTGGTGTTGAGGCCACAGTCAGATGAAACATAATCTTACCAAATGGCTGAGTGGCCTGTTCATATTGATGGACTAATTGAATAGGAGAGATTGACATGTAGAATTCAATACAAGCATGTATGAGGTTATCCATTTTGGACCGAGGATAGATCGGATTTTATATGTGGTACTTTGGTCTTGTCATTAATTCTCTGCTGGAATCATTTGCTTTTAAATTTGCAATTATCTTGCTCAATGAGCTTCGTTATTTTCGTTCAGGCCCTTCACTGTTTTTGCTCAAATCAAGTTTGAAGCCAAATGTTGTAATTAGCATCTCCCAAAATATGAAATGTTCTCCACTTCATGTAGTGTGTAGAAGGTCTTGACACGCATCCCAAGAGAAATGGTGTACGTGTGGCATCTCCAAATTACTGAAATGCCTTCCCTTCAAAAAAGGAAGAGTTATTTTGTAGTGATGTTTGCACCTGTTTTGCCATAACTGGATTTATCTTGTATACAAAAGAATTGTAATACTCCCACGAAGCAGTTGCATTTTGTGACTTCAGACATGCCCTAATTTTGTTTGCCATTTGAATGGTATTGAACTAGACTTGTGTCTATGCCTTTACTTTTAATCAATGAATAATTTATTGTTGCATTTTAGTGAATAATACAGTAAAATACAGTGAAAAGCTTCAACAGTTGCCACTATCTGGTGCCATTTTGAATAGTTTGAGTAAAACTGATTTTAAAAAAAAACTGAAAGAGAATAGATTCAGAATAAAAAGGATAAAGTAATACCTGAAAGAGAATCTTAATCTCTGAGCTGGCTCACCAAAGACACCTGGGACTCCACTCCTCCACTGCCTGTGCCAGACTCACCAACGTCGGAGTCGCCACTCTTTTAGGCGCCACCTCTTTGCTGGGTCCACCATGTCGACACTGATGCCAGGTCCTCTACTGAACCTACACTTGTCCCGCAACCAGGAGTTCCCAGCTCTACTGTCACCTCTGATTCAAGGAGTCCCGGGCAAACCATGCTGCAGCTGCCGCCTCTCCCACTCTAGAAGTCTTGCTGTGGGCCTACTGTAACCAGGAGTCCCTGGCTCCACTGGCCAATCGGGCCAGTGCTCTTGCCAGCACAGCCATCCAGAAAGGTCTGCTGCTGTTGTCTCCGGTCACTTGGGAGCTTCGTTGCCAGCTCCAAATGCCAGGACGGTGTCCCTGTTGCCGCTGCCTGTATTTGCCGTGAGGATCTGCGTCGTCCACCCAATGCCAGGGGGAGCTGTCTTTCCATGCATGGCCCATTGTGGTTGTCGTGCCAATTTTCCCAAATAACCTGCTGCAAAAGTCTCCAAAGAAAAGAAAATGCTTCTTTTTTTAAGAGGAAAAAAAGCACGTTGGAGTGGATGAGCCTGCATGCAGCCCTGGTACTCTGTCGCCATCTTGGATTTACAGCAGTTTTGCGATGTGTTTACCTTTCCAAATGCTCTTTGGCTGTACAAGCCTCGGATTATTGACAATTAATGTGCATATTCTTTGATATCAATTATTTATAGCAACATTTGCTCTAAAATCCATACTCCTTTAATACAAAGTTGTCAAAATGTGAAACTTGATTACATTATTTTGGGGCTTTGTATATGCAATTTTGTCTCTTTGGCTGTAAGCTGCATTGAAGCATAAGATTGGGATATCCTAAACTAAAGAAATTAAGGACTTTTATCTCCTGTGGCAAGAAGGAAACTTTGCAGTTTCCAGATTAATAAGGGAGCAGATAAAATTGATACAATAAACTACATGTACGAAGGGGGTCATAAACCGACACGCAAGAACCTCAGCTCAGATTATTTTGTCCATGTTCTTTGATAAACCACCACATTTAGGCCTGCTCCCTTGTTCCTTTTTAGCCATTTGAGTTCTTCCTTTTTCAAGCTTGTACTCCATTCTCTTTTGAAAGTTCTTATTGAAACTGTTCTCATCGTTTTTTTCATTGGTGCTTTCCAGATAGGTTTCTCCTTTTTTCTAAATTCTCATCGATACTTTCTGCTTACTAACCCCTCAAATTAATGGAAGTAGAGTTGATAGGTAGAAATGTTCATAACGTCATAGATCACACTTTCATATATTTTTCCAGCTTATGCTCCAAGGAAAGTAATTGCAACTTCTCATGTCTTTATCCAAAAGACAATACAAGTAAGAAATACGTAACTTGAACAGATAAATGAAAAGTTGCGTATATTTGAAAGAAATGTAGTGTGGTGAAATTCATTCTCACCTATCGAATGTTATGTTCTTTCTTACTTATCAAGTCTGTGTATAAGTTGTTGCACATCTACTTTGCAATCTACAAAGGACTGCACCTGCTATTATTTAAGAGGTGCAAAAAGTGTGCTGCAAATCAAAAATCCTACATGTTATATCTCTGATTTGATGACCATAGTAGCCATTAGTATCCTTTTCAATTTCAGCTTCAAAAGCAAAAAGTGCATTGCAGTTTTCTGGGAAAATAGTGGTGAAGGCAAAGGAGAAAAATTATTCAAAACTTGAAATTCCATACCAAGCAGAAGTGTTAGAAGGGTAAGTATGGCGAATTTTAATTCGGAAGAATCTTCTTTTTGTAAGCAAATGTTAATCTTATTTAAAGTAACAAATCAAATTGTTCAAAAGCAAAATACTGTGGATTCTGGTAACTGAAACTAAAAGTGCTGGAAAAACTCTGGCTCTGCCAGCACCTTTTTGAAGAGTGAAGCAATCGGCATTTCAAGTCCGAAATATTAACTCCTCAGAGGAGTCTTTGTGTCGGACTTGAAACATTAATTTTGTTTCTCTCTCCATATATGCTGCCAGACTGCCTAAGTTTCTCCAGCAATCAAAATTGATGGCTGCTTCTCTCAAGTAGGCAATTTGTTTGTTTACTTATTTGTTACCTCTATATAATATTGCTGTTTGTCTTTGCTCAGCTGCTGAAATCTTCATCTATGCCTTTGCCTCCAAATTCTACGATTAAAATAGTGTGCTGACCAGCTTTTTGTTTCCACCCTATGTAAACTTGAGCTCATACAAATTTTATTTACCTGTACCCTAACACACTTGTTAAATCTTGTTCACCCAACTACAAGGCTGTAGGTTCAGTGTCACTTTGCTCGGGTTCCTCTGTGGTCTCACGTGATTCTGTATCCTTACCAGCGCGGTTCTACAATCTTTCACAAAAGTTCTGCTCCTCCCTCCCTTTGGTTTTCTATATATTCCACACACTTTCATCCTGTAATTGGTAACCCTGTATTTAGACCAGAAGCTCAAGGATTTCCTTCCAAAATCCTCTAAATCTCTTCCTCCTCTTCAGATGTATCCTAATACCCAACTCCAACCAAGCTTTCAAGTCACCCATTCAAATATCTCCTCCTTTATCTCCGTGTCAATTTCTGCCTTTTAAACTTCCGGTGAAGTGCTGTGGACATTTAACTATATTAAAAACATTATACAAATACTACTGTTTGGACTTAATTTAGAACTAATTAGTGCTTTTTTCACACAAAACAACTGACCCATCCTTTAGATGAAGTGTGTGATAATTGATTAAAAATACAAATTCCTTTTTCCTGCTCGTTACCCTGTTTACCAGTCCTTTTTTTTTACCAGTTCTGTGGCTGAGAATCTACTTTGTAAAACTGCATGTTGGCAATGGACAACTCTTACTGTGTATGAACTTTGTAACATTTGAGGTGTTGATATATATTCTTAAACCAATTATTTATTCTACTTTTCGTGTAGTAATAGAATCAGTTCTGACTTCTGCATGCTTACAATGATCCTTTATCAAAAAAAGTAAATCCTTGTAGATTTATAGTAAGATTTATTAACTCAATCCTTTGCTGGAAGTGCTGCTTGTTGTATATGCTGGTTCAGACTGTGACCGTCTGAAAGACCAGGAAAGCCTTTCATTAAATTGCAACAACCTGTGTTGCGACTTGTGGTACAAATTCTGTAATTGGTCTCAGCACTTGGTAAGGGCTTCTGCTTCTGTTTTTTTTTGTAACATCCAATTTCTCCAATTAGAAAAAGCCCTTACCTATACTACTTGCGTATAGTGTGATTCTCTTACCTGAGAATTGGAGTGAATGAGAAAGTCTTGACTTTTTTTTTAGTTTTTCTTGCAAAGTCTCAATCTATGAATCCAGGATTGCAATCAGAATTGCAAGTATTTTATATTTTTGTTGTTTTCTGAAGACCGGTACAATAAATAACTCAGCACATTTATCTTTGTCATATCTTTGTCCCCTGCAAGATTTGGGCACAAAGTCGATGTTAACACTTCAATGTAGTGCTGAGGTGGATACTGGTGGGTTTTTTTTGAGGTATTGTATTTGCCAAAATGAACACTTTTCTCCCTGATAAGTGGGGAGGAGTTCCTGGACATTGTCTTAGTGCCAGTGTGAGTGTTTATTCCCTAACCAGCCCACCACCAAAAAGAAAATAAGCTTGTCGTTTTATCTTTTGAGAATTGAAACTAATTGTTTGCAAATTGCTTTTGAGCATGCTGCAGCTGAATCAAATATGAAATGCTTTTTGGGTGTTTGTACCATACTGATCCATTAAAGTCTTTAAACAACAGTTTTCCTTACCCAAGAGCATTCTGTTTAAAGCCTGTCTAGTTCGTTGGTGTCTGATGTCCTCATGATCACTTGTATTGTTAGTAACTATTATTTTGCTGAAGCATACTCAGGAGATCCTAATCCTTCGTCCTCCTCTTCTTGATCCACCCCGGCTTCTCCGCGCCCCCCCACACACAAAAAAAGTGTTCCGCATAAGACTGAAACAGATGAAATAATGTTGAATGCTGATCTCTTCCTTTTGGCCTAATCTGTGACTAAGATACAGGATAATACTTTAAGACGTGGTTAATTCTGACTGTGACTGCTAATTTGCAACATTTGAAGGCAGTATCACAAGAAATTGTCAATACTGTAGGGAGAAATAAAAATAATGCATCTTTTGTGATTTTGCAGGTACTTGGGTTATGATCATGCAGCAACACTTTTTCATATCAGGGACAGCCCTACAGATCCAGTGGAGAGGCCAATATATCTAACAAATACATTCAGTTTTCCAATCATTATACACAATGTTTCTTTGCCAGAAGATGCAAAGACAATGTTTAAGGCAAGTATAATCGCCATACTGTCTGTCGTAAAGTGGTTATTCTGCTTTCTGAACAATGGACTGTTGAATTCAAGAATATTTATTTAACTGTAATTTTTCTTTCTTAGATTAAAAACTTCAGTGAGCCAGTTTCTGTTCCTCCCCACAAAGCACTCTACATATTTTCTCTCCATTTTGTGGCTACCACTTCTTCCATTCATATAGACAGCAACATTTTGCTTGTCACAAATGCATCAAAATTCCACCTCCCTGTGCGAGCCTATACAGGGTTTTTAGATGTAAGTACATTTTTAAAAAGTTTCCAGTACTTGCTTTCTATGTAAACTGAACCTCATTAGAAAACTTTAAGTTCTAGGGTGAGTTTTGTAAGGTACAGACTATAATTTAAGAACTATGTTCTATCTATAACTTAACCTGGGGTTCCAAAGAACATATTGCTATTATTGGGGATGAGGTCCTGAATTAATGTAGAGTGTTTTCTGCTGTTGTAATCACTGATATATCTGTTTCTTTGTGTTTTTATGCCACCTGTTTCTTTTTCAAACTTTTGGTATGCTTGATTGCTGTGAATGTACTTTAAATGAGATACAGGTACTACATGCAATGTTGTCAGGAAAATTTGGTATCTATCATGTTGTATGGAGTCATGTCAGTTATATATGTTCATTGACAAATGCCTTTTGGAAATTGCTGTCTTTCATCCATAATTGTGGACTGTATAAGTGGACAGGAGATATCTTGAATTATGTTTTACTGTGCTGCAGTAGGGACATTTTTAGGATTTGTTTTATGGGGGTGAATGTCATTTTTGTTTACTGCCCTGGAGAATGTGATGTTGAACTGCTGCCCTGAACCGCTGCAGTCCTTGGCATGTGCTATTAGGGGCAGGAGTTCCAGGATTTTGACCCAGTGGCAGCGAAGGAGTGACTGTATAGTTCCATTTCAGCATAGTGTGAGCCCTGAAGGAGAGCTTGCAGGTGCTGGTACTCCTATGCGCCATCTGCCCTTGTCCTTCAAGTTCTGTTAAAGTGGTCTTGAAGAGTTGCCACAGTGCTTCCTGCAGATAGAGGAGCTGTGTGTTCTATGTCAATATTGAAGGTAGGTAGATGGGGTTCCAAGCTGGTGGGCTATTTTTATCTGGTTGCT